ACTTTAAAGAGTCCTCTCCTGCTGATGTTCAGGTGTATATCAGTATGTAGTGTCTCTACTTTAAAGAGTCCTCTCCTGCTGATGTTCAGGTGTATATCAGTATGTAGTGTCTCTACTTTAAAGAGTCCTCTCCTGCTGATGTTCAGGTGTATATCAGTATGTAGTGTCTACTTTAAAGAGTCCTCTCCTGCTGATGTTCAGGTGTATATCAGTATGTAGTGTCTCTACTTTAAAGAGTCCTCTCCTGCTGATGTTCAGGTGTATATCAGTATGTAGTGTCTCTACTTTAAAGAGTCCTCTCCTGCTGATGTTCAGGTGTATATCAGTATGTAGTGTCTCTACTTTAAAGAGTCCTCTCCTGCTGATGTTCAGGTGTATATCAGTATGTAGTGTCTCTACTTTAAAGAGTCCTCTCCTGCTGATGTTCAGGTGTATATCAGTATGTAGTGTCTCTACTTTAAAGAGTCCTCTCCTGCTGATGTTCAGGTGTATATCAGTATGTAGTGTCTCTACTTTAAAGAGTCCTCTCCTGCTGATGTTCAGGTGTATATCAGTATGTATTACTTTTCTCATACTGCCTCTTTTCACCCTCTGTCTGAAACCAGAGCCCAGTCTGCTCTGGTTGGTTAGCTGGCCGGCTCTGTTCTAGGGGGCAGTGTGTGGGAGAGAAACTGCAGACCATTAACATGCACACACACCTATATAACACACTACAGGAAAGAGAACACCCCATAATAGCGCCTCTGAAACATCGTTAGACTCTGAATCTCTCGACAGTGCACAAACCATTCTGACATAATCTGTCTGCGTCTCCTTTTTTCTCCTCTTTCTCCAGCTCTGCTTTTCTTCGTCATTTTTGGCAGTCACAGGAGAGTTTTAATTTACAGCCCATTTCTCTCTTAATAGCAGCGAGTGTGTGGGTGTGTGTCTGTGTGTGCTCGTACAGTAAGATGAGTCAGTGATGTCTGCACACTACTCTCAAGGCCCTTCTAAAGTCCTCTATGTATTTAATCACCAGCAACTCCAACATCTAATTGATCATTAAGGTTTCTCCTGCTGATCCTCCACCCTCTGGAGACACCTCGCAGAACTTGTCTTAATATTGTTTTCGCGGATGTGTGTTTGTGCATATATGTGACTTTATGTATAAAACAGTCTATTGCCTAGTGGTTAATCTACTGTCTACATGCTACAGGATAAAACACTGTATAATATTAATAAATATAGTGACAAATAATTATTTAGCCCTCACACAACTTCCCTTAAAGACTGACCAATAGCACTTTGCAGTAGCATTATTAGTCGTGTGTAGGGATGCCCCCTTTAAGGAGATTAGTTGACTAAATGGTCATTTTGGTCTTAGTCAATTTCTTAAGGCTTTTTTCTTGCTGAATGACTAAGAAAATTAGGAGCACATTTTTGTTGAATTTAACATTTAAAGTGGTGCTTTTGCCTAATTATTTGTGGAGAAACGTAGTGGATTTAATATGTGAAGCTAATTGATTAGTCGACACAATTGTACGGGTGTTAGTACACTAAGGTTTTTACTTCAGGACAGCCGTAGTAGAGTGTGTCATAAATATTTGATTTCACTGTGGCTGTTAGTACGAGAGTTTGAACAACCAATTTTGTTTTTCTGTAACCAAGTCGAGGTTGAAATCCCACTGTGTTGAAACTCCTTTCATTTTCTCAATTGAGCATCCTCCTTTGATCTGAGTGCTCATATTATCCGCTGTAGTGGAAGTGAAGCGCTGCAGCACTTTATACGGACACGATCGTGAGAACGCTCCGCTTTAAACCTGACCTTGAGCCTGTCAAGAATGACCAATGAATTATTCAGTCTGCTGCAAACCTATGGCCGATACATCAAACCCTCTTCCTTTCTGCTACCCAGAACCACCTGTGCTGCAAGGTGTTTTATTCATGGAGGTGTCGTGATATAGGAAGCTCAGAGATGTTTTCTGTTACCTTGCTGTGTGTTGATGGTATGGAGTCTCCTGGGTGTCAGCAGCATGGTGGTGTGACACGTCTGTTAGTAAAGACAGATCTGCAGGAGATGTGCCCACATCATCTATTTCTATTCACATGTAGTTTCATCCCACAGACCATAAGACTGTTAAACACCTGAACTTTTGAAAGAACATTTATCTGTTCACATATATCATATATATTCCAATGACTATTCTGCACAGGTTCTATCATATTCTGTTTCTATTGTATCTGTTGTATTGTGTTGCACTGTTGTCATAATAACTCATCTGCAGCTATGTACAAATGACAATAAAAGCCTTGAAATGTGAAACTATAGACTTTGCATTTCTGTATTTTATTATATACTGTATGTTGGATTGTTGGAGGAGCTCAGGTCGTATGATTTTCATTGCCATGTCTACACTGTAGCTTTGGCCATGTGACGATAACACCTTTGAATCTTGGAAATGGATGATGGTGATAGAAATAGCCCTTTCCCCCACCTTTCTCCTCCGCTCCTTCCCCCCTCTTCTCATTTCCTCTCCTAATGCTAATCTACACCCTGCTTCTTGCTTTCCTCTCCATTTTCTCTGCATCCTCCCCCCCTTGTCTGCACTGTCTCCTCTTCTCCTCTCCTTTGTTTTCCTTACCCCTCTCCTCCTCTGCTCAGTGTGTACAGACAGGCGTGCACTTCGACGCCAGCAGTGATTTATTCTGCTTAGGCAAATGAGTGTGGCTTACAGCATGCGGCTCCTTTTTCTGCTTCATCAGTACACATTGCACAGAACAGTGGAGCAGGTTGCCGCCTGCAGGCACACACAACCCCTGAAATGGATCTAAGACACACCCTGGAGGGGCTCTTCTGCAAGGAGCTGATGTGATTCATTCCTGTGTTTTGGATGTAGTGGAATGTGTAATTGAGCATGGATAATATGCAGCTTGTGTGTATCATGTAATATGTTCAGACGACGCCCTCAGCTCGGGGGTGAGTGTGGTCGAGGGAAACCGCCTCATGAGGTCACCCACTCACTCAGTAGGAGACGCTTAATGGACAATAGGCCTGGGCAATCTGGTTTAAATGATATCAACACATTATATTTCGGTTGTTTGTGGTCTAGCACAATTGTTTCCCTCGCCATAGATGTTGTACACCCCTTTGTTGAAGCACCCTACATGGAAAATGGTGCCAGCATGTGATTGTTTTTTGTTTAAAAGCTTACAGAAGGATGGTATAGTCCAGTCCTCTGTAGAATTGAACACGCTTAGTTTAAGGCTGACTCATGGTGCTACAATAACCTTACATCACTGTTACCATTGAGTTTACTTTGTTACAGTTACAGTGGAGACATGCGGAAAGAAATGAGTCACTTCCAGCTGCCATCTTTGTTCAGCTGACGAAAATAGTTTGCAACTTGATAGGGCTGCAAGACATGGGAAAAAACGGATTTATGGATTGAAAAAAATAGTCATTTTCACCAAATGAGGCCGAAGTACCGTTTTTTTTGGGAACGTTATCCTTTCTGTTGCTGATATATAACTCAGGAGGGTCTATGCAGGAATCCTGAAGTCAAATGTAAAACCTTTTAAGACCTTTTTTAAGACCCTTTCCGTACATTTTAAGACCTCATCTCCACTTGGAGTTCTAACCGGTTACCTTGGCGACACACTTCACCTCACATTGACTATATACAGTATTGATTGTCCTTCCTCCTTATCTTCCAACCATTTGGACGCAGACTTGCATTTCCCCATAACGATGTTGTTTAACAACCGGCGTAAACGGACCTTCGCACTATCAAGCAGTGAGCGTGCGATGTCCTGTTCAGATGACGTCAAACCCAACGGGATGCCATCAATAAACTACACAGAATCACACTACACACCTACGCCATGATTACATTCAGGCAGACTGTAGAATACAACCTCTCTGGACCATTTATATACTTATTGAAAACAAGCTACAAAATGTAAACACCTTGGAAAATGCCGTTCGTTAATACTTTAATAGCCTTCATTTTCTCTAAATTGATTTATCAACTTGTAATACTTTTTAAGACCACGCGGACACCCTGATAACTATACAACTGACATGTTATGAACAGCGTAGGAGCAAAATGCTTATATAGCCCGTGTGTATAATTTCTATTATCATTATTATTTGTTTAGACTCCACACGTTTTCTTATTGTTCATCACAACTCCTGGTGTGGTTTAAGGTACTCAATTCCACCTGCTTTTAAGACAGAGAGGGTACGGCAGGTGTTTTTTCTGTTGACTGCCAGGTCCTGCTTTAGTAACTGTGTGTTTCAATCACTTTATTAAATACACCTTCAACAAGGACTATTTCTTTCCAACGTGTCAAAGTCATCCTAAATTAGCTTTTATTTAGTTTGAAGCTTAGTCTCTACACACAGTTATGAGTTAAGAGGAACAGCTGTGTGTGTGTTTTGTCGCAGGGGTGTCCAAACTACGGCCCGCGGACCATTTGAATCGGCCCTCAGCAAATTCTAATAGTATAATGGAATACAAATGAAACTTGTGCTTGTCTTAATTGTACTTCGTAAAATGTAACATATATTACACAGTGGTATTCATGTGTTAATGAGACCACTTTTCAATAAATTCAGTCAATTAAGGTTGGAAGTATTTTCTACCATATCTTAGTTGATAAGAAAAAGCTCAAGGACTTATTTACATAACAACGCTTGAAATACAACCCTTCATATTTTCTCCTTATTATAATCAACCTGAGTGATGAGCAGCCAACAAAATAAATGAAACCCTATGGAGAGCTGTGACATAGAATAATTTACCTACATTTGATTAATTTTGCAGACTTAAAACTTAACTTATGAGGCAATATACCTTTAGTGAGTGGCCCGGCTCTTCGTATATTTTTCTGTATGTGACCCTTGGTGAAAAAAGTTTGGACACCCCTGGTTTAGTGTCTGGCTCTCGTGTGTATTGAGTGTCTGGCTCTCAGGTGTGTGTGTTAGTGCTCAGAGAGACGAGGTGCAGCCCCATGGATACCTGTGACCTGGTCCACCAGGATGCGGGAGGTGATGATGCGTCCGTACTGAGAGAAGAGCTGCTCTAGCTCCTTCTGGGTCATGGTCTTGGGCAGGCCGCTCACGTACAGGTTGGCGTCACGGATGGAGGCTGAGCTGGGTCGTGCATATGACACCTGAGGGGAAACAAACAGCCTTAGAGCTTCCATATGTCAACTCGGTTTTTTGTGCGCGCTTGTGCTTTGGGACAGAGGTGGGAATAAGTGGAGTACAAATACTTCGTTACTGTACTTAAGTACATGTTTCTGGTATCAGTACTTTACTCCACTACTTATTTCCTGATGACTTTTTACTTTGACTTCTTACATGTTGAACCTAAACACCTGTACTTTCTACATCTCATTTTGAACACAAATACCTGTACTTTCTACTTCTTACATGTTGAACACAAATACATTACATTACATTACATGTCACTTGTTAGACGCTTTTATCCAAAGCGACTTACATACTCAATACTGTGGGCAATCCCCACAGGAGCAATTTGGGGTGAAGTGTCTGAGGGACACAACGACATGCTGACTGCAGTGGGGTTTGAACCTGTGACCTCCTGATCCGAATACCAACTCACAACTCACTGCACCACACGCCTCCCCATACCTGTACTTACTACTTCTCACATGTTGAACACAAATATCTGTACTTTCTACTTCTCACATGTTGAACTCAAATACCTGTACTTTCTACTTCTTACATGTTGAACACAAATACCTGTACTTTCTACTTCTTACATGTTGAACTCAAATACCTGTACTTTCTACTTCTTACATGTTGAACACAAATACCTGTACTTTCTACTTCTTACATGTTGAACCAAATTCCTGACCTGTACTTTTCGACTTCTTACATGTTGAACACAAATACCGTACTTTCTACTTCTTACATGTTGAACTCAAATACCTGTACTTTCTACTTCTTACATGTGAACACAAAATACCTGTACTTTCTAACTTCCTTACATGTTGAACACAAATACCTGTACTTTCTACTTCTTACATTGTGAACTCAAATACCTGAACTTTCTACTTCTTACATGTTGAACTCAAATACCCTGTACTTTCTACTTCTTAATGTTGAACTCAAATACCTGTACTTTCTACTTCTCACATGTTGAAACTCAAATACCTGTACTTTCTACTTCTACATGTTGAACACAAATACCTGTACTTTCTACTTCTTACATGTTGAACTCAAATACCTGTACTTCTACTTCTTACATGTTGAACACAAATACTCTGTACATTTCTATCTTTCTTACATGTTGAACTCCCAAATACCTGTACTTTCTACTTCTTACATGTTGAACTCAAATACCTGTACTTTCTACTTCTTACATGTTGAACACAATACCTGTACTTTCTACTTCTTACATGTTGAACTCAAATACTGTACTTTCTACTTCT